GGGCCGAGCTGTGTGTGTGAGAAAGTGGGGAAAGCGAAGGAAAGAGCTAACTAGGGTTTCCCCAAGTGAATTTTCCTTGGCAAATAGCTGACAAATTTCGTAGGAGCTGCGCTGGTGCGAGGGCGGAAACCCCGGGAAAAGCCGGCGGACTATAATTGCAGCAGCGCTTGAAAGGCAGGCAGGCAGGTGATTCGGCAACAAGTGAGACGACCGCATAATCCACAGCGACCACAAAGGCCACACGGTGGCGCATTAATAAATTTGCTCTGGCAAAAAGCTGAAAAATATTGAAAAAGCGATCTCTACACAATTGTCCATAAAGTGGGTGGCCTTTTTTTTGCATTCTTTTTGCGCTGTTATTGCCGCGGGGCGTCCTTGTTTTTGCCGTGCAACCACAGCCAGGATTAAAGCGGACAGTAAAGCGGACGCGTCGCCAATTGTTGTGACAATGTGGCTAACAAAAGCGAACAACGGCCGCACTGACTCGTTGATATTGACAACTTTTTAATCACTTAATAAATTCAATAAAATTAAATGCGGTTAAGCGTCAACAAGGACATCTCCTCCCACTCTTCTATCTATCTGTCTACCATCCTCAATCACGAACCCTTCCAGCCGTCAGTCAATCAAAAATACTCAAGCGCCTGACAATGAACAAAAGACTCGGAAAAATCCTGTCGAAAGGATTCGATAGCTCCATCTCCAGCTTCAGCTTCTCAAATATTTAAGTTCCCTTTTCTTTTTTTGGGTATCTCAAAGAGTTTGTCCAGACTGAAAGAAGGGAAATGTAGAGCTTAACAGAGATTTAAGTTAATCTGTGAGTGGTTAAGTTTAATAGCGTTTAACCAAGTCAAGCAAAGCCTTTACTACCTTTACTTCACCACCTTAGAAGGGTTAAAATTAATAAAAAAATATTACAAAAAAGCTTTCTAAATGAAAAGTCTTGGAAAAGCATTCGTTTAACAGGAAAGCACATCCGGACTTCGACTTTCTTTTGCTTAAATCTGCCCCCTTTGAAGGACATTTAATTAGCGTGAATTATTTTGTGCTCACCATTTTAATTTTGCAAATTAAGTGGCTGGGTCCGAAATCATCATCGGGGTTATGGCTAGGAAGGGGTTACCTAATCTCCAGCCCTGGCCAGAGAGACTCGACAGACTTGGATTTAGTTAAGGAAATCTCGGCTATTGGGGATTATGTCGAAGCAGCGACTAATTGGAGTTGTTTTCCCGGGCTTCCATTTGCCGGCTCAATCTAAGCGCATTAGGAAAACGCAGAGGAAAAGCAGTCTGCGTTGCGGGTTAACCGCCAAGGCCTTTAGGCCTTTTCATTGGGCGGGGAATCTCACCTCCCCCCCCCCTGGTAGAGTATATACACTTTCCGTGACAGCTAACAAATTGCAACATTGGCTTTTAAATTGTAATGCCTTTTTAAAGGGAAAACGTTTAAAGTTTTCCCAGACAATTGACTCCGCTCGCGTGACACTTTGGATTTTGTGGGCAGCTCTGAACGCCCCCCCTCCCCCCTAAAACCCACGGCCATGGCCACATGCAATCAGCGCTGACCAACGCATTTCATTAGCACCAAATTAAGCAAAAATCACCAAAAAAAAGAAGGAGGGAAAAGCACAAAAAAGAGGCGACTATTTAGGGAAAGTACAGCGGTGGTCAGGATGGTAGGAGTGATCTTACTAACAGGTGATTGTTCTGGGGAAGTCAAGTTTTTTAACTTTCTAATTGGCATAATTTTAATCCTATTTATGTTTACTTTCACTGCTTAAGAGATGCATCTTAAAAATGTGAAGGTGATTAAAGCATTTAAGAAGCCTTTTCTCTCATTTTTGCAGTCTTAAAATCAAAGTTAAATGTCAAAATAGTTAAGCAGGTTTCCCCTTTCACTAAAATATCAAAAAGTTCCCTATAAACTTGAACTCTGCTGTTCACTTTTCGAGCGCAATGTTGATCAGCCTCCGCATAAAGGGTGCTCCCCTCAAAGGCAATTGCATTTCGTTTGGTCAAAATACAAAAAATAAAGAACAACACAACGAACTCGCCTCATTTCGTTTGTAATTTGTTCGGGTGAAATTGGCTGGGAAAATTGGGGAGTGGTGGGTGGTAGGTGGTGGGCTGGGGGTAGTACAACAGTTCATTTACCTTTTCTGCGGAGAATGGAGAGTGGAGAGTGGCCCTGTGCCTCTTTGTAATTTCTGGCCAACCATTTTCCATTGGCCATTTTTATATTTTCGGTTCATTTCGCTGGCCCCTCCCCCTCGATTTTCCGTCACCCCCAGCCCCCCTTCCATCACTTACTTTCCCCATCTTGTTTGTTTTGTTTTGTTTCGCTGGCGATTCGTTACGTTTCGCGTGGCGCGGTTTCGTGTATCTTTGTATCTTTACCCGGCGCGTATCTCTTTCTGCATCAATATCTGTATGTGTATGTGTATCTGTATCTGTGTATGTGTAACTGCATCTGTTTTCTGCCTCTGTGTGTAGGCATTCTCCGACTGAAGCTCCAAACCGCCGGCAATCACACACACAAGCAACCTCAGAAGCGACAGCAATTAAAGCAACAATTTGAAAGGCCAAACTAGGCCCAGGAAAAACCATTTAGCTAAGTACTGATCAGGGTTAAACGGGGAGTTCTCAAGTATAAATATTTCCCTTTAGTTTAATATTCAACAAACACACAATTAAGCTACGAAAAACAGCAATTGTTGCGTTTTAAAAAGCAATAAAAATGCAGCATTAATGGCAAACAAAATCAAACGCAAACTCAGCCCAAAAAACAGACCAACGCCGAAAATAAACCAACAAAAGGCCATTATTATTTTTTTTGTTTTTTTGTTTTTTTGAACAAAAGAGGCGGCACGCACACACAGACGAGAGCAGAGAAGTGGAGGCTGGAAAAACATGGGGGAAAAGTGTAGAACACATTGTGAAAATGTAAATTTTCCATTGATTAAATGCGAAAATGCAAGTGGTGGGTGGTGAAAAAGCGATGGGGCTGGGAGAGGAATCATTACGGCTGCAACTATTTTTCGGGAAAATATTTGAGCAAATGCCAGGGGCAAAAATCCGAAAATCGCAGCTTCAATCGGACTCACTTCGATGAGGGAAATTTGTGTTTCATTTCCAAAGATTTAAATTACAAATCAAATAATTAATAAGCAAAGAGAGTTTATTTTTCTATAAATTAAAAATAAAATAAAATTTATAAATATTTTTTTGGATATTTTTCTCCATTAAGAAAAGAGTTCTTTTTGAAAGTAAAGCCTTAAAAATAGTTTCCCACTGACAGGTCACCCGCCAAGTGAGAAACCCCATCGTTCTGTCACCAAATCGAGTTCCTGCGACCTTGACCAACCTTGACCAGCCAAGGCCGGAACGACCTTGATGGCCCACACAAACCAAAAACCAAAGGGACCAAGGTGTTGACCAGCAAAAGGAGACAACCCAACGCGACTGTGCGGTTAATGGCCTCGACAAATTTCACTGCGGTTGGCCAACTTCATGTCCTGTAGCCTGCAAATCCAGCAAATCCCGCATGTCCCTGCCTGGACATATATTTTCATCTCAATATCTCCATCCGAGTCCTGGCTACGAAATCGAGTTAGTTATGCCAATTAGTGCGACAATTGTCGAAAAGTGAGCTCCTGCGGATCCAACGAGGTTCCCTAATCACCAATAATCCGCATTAATTGCCATCAATTTGGGCTTCGGCCATGTCCATGTCCTGCGGTCAGCAGATGTCCTTCGATTTTCGAGGACCAACAGCTCACACTGTGCTAAAGTAATTTCAGGGTTTCACAAATCACAATCTTGTTTCACATTCTTGGTTTAACTTTAAAGGGCAAATAAAATATTTATTAAAATTTAAGTTCAACTTATTTTCATTTTATATTAATGATAAAATGTTAAACATTTTACTTACTTATTACTCATTTTTAGCTCTTATCGTTCTCACTCTCAATCATGTTGATTGATAAGCTCAGAGATTCCCTAATGAAAGTGCCAGACACTTGGAATTTTCCCCCCCAGCTGACAACCACAAATAGTTGTTATCGATAACCCCTTGAGAGATAAGTTCAAGTGAAAATATTAATTCGCGGTTGGTTTTCCCATTCGATTTTTTTGCCTTGATAATACGATTTCGGAATTTCTCAATTTTTGGGTAATTCTTGCCAGAATTTTATTATCGTTCAACTTTTGTGTTGATGTCTGCGGGCCATCTATGATAAGATGACGACGTGTTTTAGAGCGGAAATCTAAGTTTTGAGATTGTTAAGATGGAATTTCCAAAGTGGAAATGGAAAAAAAATATACGAGAAATTATTGAAGAGATTTATAATAAGTTGTATTACATTATTAACTATCATAGAACATAGTTTTCTTTTTCGAAATATTGGTTTTGAATGTCGTTTTTCATGATCTTTACCTGTAAGAAAAGTTCGCTGAAATGTTGGGAAATGAAAACACAAAGGTAAGAAATCTAAGTTTGAGATTATTAAGATGGAATTTCCAAAGTGGAAATGAAATAAAATATAAAAATTTCTTAAAGAAATTATTAACAACCAAAGTCAACTATCATATAAAACAGTTTTCTTTTTCAAAATGTTGTTTTTTAATATCATTTTCATGATCTTAACCTGAAAGAAAAGTTGGCTGAAATATCGAAAAAACCCTCAGGGAAATGTAAGATTTTTTGTAAATATTTTTAGGGAGATTATTAAGATGGCATTTCCAAAGTGGAAATAAAAAAATATTTGAGAAGTTATTAAATTATAAAAGAAATTATTAACAAACAAAGTCAACTATCATAGAAAATAGTTTTCTTTTTCAAAATGTGGTTTTTCAAGATCATTTTCATGATCTTTACCTGAAAGAAAAGTTGGCTGAAATCTCGAGAAAACCCTCAGGGAAATGAATACAAAAAGGTAAGTTTTTTTTTTGTAAATACTTTTCGTGTGATTTTTGTTTTTTATTTGGTTTTGTTTCAAATTCGATTTTTGTGTTAGATTTCCTTTCGCGCTAAAACTTATTTCTAGACAAAAAAATTGATTTCTCGCTTAGACGACTAGTTAAACATAAAGATTAAAAATAGCTAAATTCGCATATTATCCATCGAAAAAAAAATAGGTTCTAAAAAAAAAAAAAAAAAATAAGGGTTAAGAGTGTTACCAACTAGTTAGCTATGTACAAAATGTGTGTTTGTGTTTCCAAATCAAATTGAACTAAAGTTGCTTTTCCTTGGTATTTTCTTTTTGGGTTGAGTTTTCATTTTCATTTTCTTGGTTTTTTGTTTTTGTTTTCTGATTTTCTGGTTTTCTAGTTTTTTGCTTTCTGCTGGGATTTTTCAGTTTGAAATCCTGGTGAAAATCGAGGGCCTGTGTTTCAAACTCGTCGCACGATTTTATGAATCCGAGCATAAAACTTCGCCGGAGTCTGATGTCCAGGAGGAGGAGTTGGCTCCTTTATCCTTTTTGCATCCTTGTTTTTTTTTGGTTTTTCATAGTTTTTCTTGCTGCTGCTGCTGCTGCTGAATATCCTTCTTCGTCCCACTCTGATGAGGCTGCTCCGTTTGCCGGCCGGAGGCGTCGTAACTTATAACACTATATCACAATTATAATTTTTGCCCGCTTGCCGCTCTGCGCCGCCGCTGATTTATCACTTTGTTTCTCTTCCGTTTACCCTCTCCTCCAGTTTCTTCCGGGGACCTAGTACGGCCGCCACACGGTCTTCTGCTGGACGGCGGCGCTCTTGATCTTGGTGGTCGTTTCCGGCGATGGCTGGCGGCTATTGGCCACGGCTCCAGGACCGCTTTCGTGGTAGAGCGGCTTCATGGCCGATGGTGCCTTCAGGTCGCAGCGCATGCGAAGGGGCGCCACATCCAGGCTCTTGTCCAAGTCAAACTCCGACTTGACCACGTCGATCTGCTCGTCATCGGAGTCGCCATCGCTGGCGGACTGCTCGTGGATGGAGCTCGTTTCGATGGAGGTGTTGAGCTTCAGCAGGACGTGTTGCTGGGTGGGCGAGGAGCTGGATGGCCGCGAAGAGGCAGGGCTGACATGGACCGGCTCGTTCTGGTGATGCAGTGCAGCATTGCGGGCCCTCAGGCCAGCTGCCGCCGCAAAGTTGTACGGATGGAAGGCATGGGGTGTGGCTGCCTTGGCGGCGGCTGCTGCTGCCACATGATTGAAAGGAAACTGGGGCATGGCATAGGGCGTGGCAGGAGCTGCTCCCGGTGGTGATGGCATCATAGCAGCAGGTTGTCCCGCCGCCGCCGCCGCCGCCGCAGCTGCCGCTGGATGAGGATATTCAGAAGGCTGAACGGCCGATGAAGAGCTGGTGGCTACCGAAGATGGATTAGGATTGGGCGACACTGAGGAAGCCGAGGACTTGGCCAGGGCAGGATGATGAACCTGAGCCGCCTGGGCAGCTGCCTGATGGCGGAAGTAGTCCGCATAGCCGTAGGTCATGTACGCGGCATCCAACCAAGCGGGATTCAGCATGAAGGGGTTAAACGCGCCGGGATGAGGATAGCCATAGCCTGGAAGGATAAGAAAGAGAGCGGGAAATTAGTAAAGCCGAATTCGGTTTTCAAAGGGTTTTCTTTTTAAAAAACGGGTTGAGGATTGGGCTTTGGGGTGGTTGGGAAAATTGCATCGAAACTTTGTAAAATATTTTTGAATATTTTTTTTTTAAAGCATTTGAAGAATCTTTAAGGTTCAAAGATCATATCAAATAATAAAATATTTACAAAATAAATTTAAATTTCTTTTTGTTTTTAATCTCAAGATGAGGAAAGGATAGTTTTTGGGGGATGTTTGGGAGTGGTTTGAACTGAAAACATAATGGAAACTAAAAAACTCACTTTGCTTACTTCTTGGCTCCCGTGGCCCGTCGACGGTCACCTTGATGGCTTTGCTGTAGCTGGCGATCTGCACTGGGTATGTGGCGATGGTGATGGTCAGGGTGAAGGATTTGCCGCGTCCCGATCGGCCAACGAAGCGCAGATCATTGAACTTGGCCACCTGGTTCTTCATGGTGGTGGTGCAGTTTCTCAGTTCGCCGCAGTAGTTCTCATCGTTGCCGCATTTGATGGACACCAATGTGCCATCGGGGACATCATCAAGAGCGATCACCTTGAAGGCACCGGGCAGGGACTTGTTCGATCGCCAATGGTTGGGCAGGGCACTGCAGAGGATCGAGGGAGAGCCGGTCTGGGCTAGTTCGCCATGGTATTCCTGGAGCATCTCGTGCAGGCTGGCAAACATATCAGTCATCGAGCTGGGCATCTTGGCGGAGTTCTGGGGACTGGTGGTGGCATTGCTGCTGGAGCTGGTGTTGTTCGTGCTTAGATCCGGGGTAGAGCTGCCAGTGCTGCTGGCCGAATGAGTGCTGGTGTTGGCCAGACTCTGGCCGGGATTCGCATTGGAACTGTTGTTGCCCTGCTGCTGGGGAACAGGAACCTGGACAGCGGCTGCTGCTGCTGCGGCTGCGGCGGCGGCGGCAGCGGCGGCGGCCAGGACCTGTGTGTTGTTGGCCACCATTGTGGGACCCGCTGGCAGATGCATCTCGTATCCGAAACTCGAAATCGTAATCGTAATCCTTGGAGTGTGTGTGTGCTCGTTTGGCTTTAGCTTTCTATGATTTATTCTTCACTTCACTTTCTCGGGGTCACTTGGAAAAAATTCGTTCGTGTTCGGTTTTCGGGTATTAAATATATGATTTTCTGAATTTCGCGATTTTGTTTCGAATCTAAATGGTATGGATTGGATGTAAGGTATCTCGAAATCGAAATCGGAATCGATATTATTATTTCTCTGTGCGTTCTCGACACGCTAAAGTCGCTGAGTGAACTGATTCTCTGCTGCGATCGTTGGCAGTATTTAAAGTGGAATGCGCTGCTCGCCGCCTCTGCTGTCGTCTCTGCCGGCGTTTATGTTATGTCTCGCTCGCACGCTGCTAACGCTATCTCACTTGCTCGCATTATCCTGGGCGGTATGGTGGTGTGGTTGGCTACCTACGCACACAGGCGCGCTTTTAAGGGTGCCGGGGCAGGTATATATCGGTATATCGAGCAACCACCATTGCCGCCGCAACAACAACCACAGCAAAAAATTTCCCATTTTTCCATTGCGGTCTCTCTGTGTAAGTGTGTGTTTGTGTGTGTGTATAAGTGAGCCTGTGCTGGCGTAAGTGAGAGAGAAGTCGCTTGTTACTTGTGGCCAAAAAGGAAAAAAAAAAAAAACACATAATAAAAGCGGAAAAAAGGAAAATCACACGGGCGAGAGCGAGAGGGATGGCCTGGAAATTGCACCAAAGAAAAACTCAAAAAAGAAATACACCGAGACTTTTCCGCTCTCTCTCTCGCTCTGCTTCTGGCTCTGCCACTCTCTTGCTCCCTCTCTCTCTCTCTCTCTTTTCCCCACGGGCGGTCTGGAAAATGTGTGCGTTTTCCTTTTCTTCGTTTTGAATTTGATTTTTTCTCGCCACGCACGCCAAAAGAAAACGGCCGTGCAACAGTTTCCCATTTTCCATTTCCAGCGGCGCGCGTGTTTTGCCGGCCCTCCTGCAGAGGGTCGTCCTCGAGGGGGGGGGGGCGGTAGCAGGGGGCGGGGGCGGCACAGGTAGGCACCCACGGCTAAACGGGTGGGGGGTTCCCTTTGCCAAAATGCTAGGATGCCCAGGGGCGTCCTGCCGACAGGACATGAGGACTCAATTAGCCGATGGGAGGAGGGATCAAGTTGCGAAATTATCATAAATATTATCATGGTCTAAGGGATCGGGAAATCTATTAACAAGCCATGTTCAAAATTCTTATGGTTCTTCTTATTCTATTATGGGAAATGAGGGAGTTACTTGGGAAGGAATTCTTTAAGTTATTAATATAGTATTGGGAACTTGAAACAGGAAGATGTTTTGTGATAATTTTGTAAAAAAATTATATTCCATTATGCTAAAATATAGGAAAGAAAAGTTCAACCACTTCTTGTTTTTAAACAAAATGATCTCAAGCGGAACTTAGAAAAGCATCTTCTACGATTTTTAGTACCAATAATGATGATAGTATGATGAGATTTTAAAGACTTCATTAGGGCAATATTACTAAAATGGTGATGAATGATCATGATTATGTTATGAATCTAATCACGAAATTATGTAATTTTCAGGATTATTGAATTTGCAGTAAATGCAGTAAAACATATCTCTGCCTATAATGAACAGCCTTAAACATCCTCCCCTTTGAACAGCCTTAAACATACTCCCCTTTGAAAGAGTGTTAAAAAATCTTAAAATGTCTACAAGTCATAAGAAACCTGACCTAACCTGATCTAAGCACTTGCTCTTACTTTTAGCTTAACTCATTTTCATTGCAGTCTTTCAGGCTTAACACCTCTCCCATGTTAACTATTAATTTCTCTATTTTTAAGATCTAATCTGCTTTAATTTCTATCCAGATTATATATTTTGTAATAATTTAATCTAATATAGAAATATCCCAACTCATATCCATAAAGTATCATTCCATTGTCTGTTAATGTCTCAGGAATTAGTGGCCCATTGAAAGTAATCAGAAATCCCTGGCTGATCATATTACGAAACACTGATCCCCATGTTTATCCTCGATTCCGCCCAAGAATTTACTCCATTCAAGAAGGAACTCCGATCTCGGAACTTGATCAACACAGATCTGCGATCTGCCATCTCCGATCTTCGATCTCCGATCTAGCCAACTAACACCCATTGTCAGTCAGGTCTGGCCTGCAACGGTTACTATCTAAGATTCACTGCCAACGATCTCTGCGAGGCTCGACTTAATCCTAATGCTGATCGGGGCGATTATCTGGCGATTAGTCATGTAAATATTTGTGCGCCTCTCAGTTCGTGTGGCGCAATCCTCTTCGCTGCCTGCGATCGCCGAGCCTTGATTGGATCAGGTTTAGCTAGCTGATCGGATTTAATCTGATCCGGAAGTGTTATACTAGGAAGGGTATACTAGTAGCTCCTCTACGCCTCTAAAGTATCAGATTTCTCCAGCTCCTCTCTGGCGTAAAATGATTTTAAAAAATTAATCAAATTTAAAAACAGATTTAGTTTTAAGTTTAGCATTTGAATATTTCAATATTTTAGTTTTAAAAACCATTTTTATATTTTAAATTACTTTTCTTTAGTCATTTAATCGGACATTTCTCGCAGTGTAACAGAAATCAAGTGCCTGACAGGCCAAAAAATTGTGGCCCACCAAAACAACCTTAAAAACGAGGCCACACAGGACCTCGAATGTGAAGAAGTGCGGGAGGCAGTTGGGTGGACTTTTCCAGACTTAAAGGGGAGAAAGAGCAAGGGGAGGGGGGAATGGAAATCTCGGGAGGGGAACCACGAGGCAAGACCAACCAAAATGTCGCGAGAACGCGCCGCTCTCAGCTGGACATTATGGACGCACACTTCCAGTAAATCCAGCATATCGGCAGCGCTGCCTTTTGTACGTGCGCGGCCGCTCGCTGCGAAGGACCTCGTGTCCCTATACCGACCGATTCTATATATCCCCGGGATATATTTTTGCCGGGACCGGGCCGCGCAGGTTTGGCGGGCGTGCGACAAGGACGCTATTGACGATTCCTGCGAAATCAGCGCTCCTGTCGTCGCTCCTTGGATCCTGCTGCGATTCCTTGGCAATTTGCGACAGAAGCTGCCGCAGCACGCGCATCGCCGGATCCGCCGGACTGGCCGTTGCCTCCTCATCGGGATAACGAAAATCAGGTAGTTAGTACCTGCCAGTACCTCGCCAGGCCCACAGGAGCCAAGGATCAACCCTTTTTTTATTGGCCTTCGAATGCTTTTTTGCGGCCCCCAAAAAAAATGGAAAACCTATGGCCTCGTCGCTGTACCTGAACCTCTAAAGTATCAGCCTATATGGCACCTCACCAGGAACAGGTAGTCCAACCGCGCAATCTTAATCCTTTGCTTATGAAAGTCAATCGCCCGGATTAACCAGCACGCCCCGCAAATATTTTGGCCGATTAGCCGCCGCCACGGGCCATAAAATTTGGTCCCAAAAAAAAAAATTAACTACCAGCATCTGATATGGCCTACCTGTTGGCCAAAAACTCAGTGGATTTCACTTTTTAGTGGGATTAACCGAATGGGGATTAAGGTGCTAGGAATCTATCTTTATAATGGATGTATCTATAACTAGGCTGGGAATCTATCTTATGAGAGTGAATTCCTATCAGAAGTCATAAAAGTAATCCAAAATTCCAGAACCAAGTTAAAAGTAAACGAAATACATTCCGTACTTACCCCTTAACTTGATCAGCCAACTATTTGAGTTTCCCTTCAACGATCTTTATTAGATTTAAATTCACTCTATAAAAGATACAGTATCTTGTGGAACCAATAGGCCATAGCTAATACCTCACTTATGCAAATTCCTATCGAAACTACGATCGCTGGAGGATCTGGATTTTCGAGTAGCGTACAAACGAGTATTGCCACCAACCCCCAGATCACAACCAGATACTAAAGATCCCTCCCTTCTCGAACGAAAGAGACGGCAGTGGAGGGAACGAACGACAGAGAGGGAGCAACGATCGAGGGTTGGGGGCAACCGCAGAGATCAGCCAACCGTTGCCGAGCAGATGGTACGAAAAGTAGCAGCCAGCCAAGAGGGGATGATTTATTAATAGAGCGATCGTGCCCGTAGAAACGAAAGAGAGCGGGAGAGTTAGAGAAACAGAGACAGCTATAGCGATCGATGCTCCGCCTCTTGCCATGGAGCTCTGCGCTCAGCCGTTAACTAGGCAATACTAAATTCACAGGCATCCCAGAACTTGGGGAGTCCTTAAAAAAACCAACACAGAAGCGAGGAAAGAGAGGAAAACGCAAGCACCATGGAAATTCCAGTGGCGCAGGGGAAATTCGCAGAGGCAAAGCCAAAAGAAAACAAAAGCCAAACTGCCAAACGAGAAACATTTTTATACTCTCAGAAGTTCAGTTTGTTTGACTTTTAAAAATCTTTTTAATTTATTAAAAAATATTTAAGGAATTTAAGATTTTATAGGTGTAAAAAGTTAACTTATCTTTTTTAGTTAAGTTAAAAATTAAATATTGTTAAAAATTGCTGAAAGCCTAAGTGGGTTTTAAAATCTTTTAACAAACTTTAAGCAGTTTAAAAACATTTTTTTTTATATTTTATCTATTAAATTAATATATTTTATGTTATAGTTTAAAGCAAGAAAAATAAAGACTTAAATTTGTTATAAAATATGATTTAAAAAAGAGAAAATTAAGTAAAAATATTTCAGATTTACGGAAGAAAACAACAAATTAAAAAATATTATTAAAAAATAATTCAAATTAATTTAAATATTTAAAAAAAATACTAAAAAATACCTTAACTTCAGTGTATTAAAAAATCTGCGCCTACATTTTGCATTCTTTTTTATATTTACAAAAAATAGCCGTGAAAAAGCGGAAAAGCGGGCAGCGCGGCGGCAGCGTAGCGACTGCGACTGCGGCTGCGGCGTTGTGTAAGTGAATTGTGGTTTGTTGTTTTGGTTGTGGCGCAGGCAGCGCTGCTGGCAGCGACGTTGGCAGCAGTTTTCCCCGCCCCACTCACAGACACCCCGCCTTCGCGGCAACGGCCTTCAACCCTCGGAAAAAATTACACCACAGCCGGTTCACCACTTTCCATTGGAAAACTCTTGTTTGAGTGATTTTTTTCTGCGTTTTGGGGTTGGTTTTTTTTTGTTATTTTCCTTCGTGTGGTGGAAAACGGGGAATGAGTGTGTTTCGGGTTTCCTTCTGTTTTTGTTTTTTTCTTTTCTTTTCTTTTTTTTTTGGTTTTCCTTTTTTTCTTTGCCTTTGCGACACTCCCACAAAATTGTGTTTTGGTTAGGTGGCCATGCATTGGCTGGCTTTCCACCGTTTTCCACACAGTTTTTCCGGCTGCCAGCTGTTCTTTGGCCCGTGTGCGGTACTCTTTCTTGGCCGTGTCCTCGGATCCTCGAATCCTCGAATCCTCCTTGGGACACATGTCACGGCATTTTCACCGATCATTTATGCTCCTTGTGTTTGCACATATTTCCCTCATTTTCCCTCATTTCCCCCCTGTTTATTTACTTTACAACAATGGATATTTGGCAGTAGCGACCCGTAACCATTTTCTTTCGGGCCCGCGACAATTAGCCAAAGGAAAATGAAAGAGGGGAAAACTTCTTATATACAGACGGGGGGCGGGGAAAGTGCAGCTGGCCGATCGGCGTTGAAATCCTAATGATCCGAGGCGATTGTTACAAATGTCATCTACAAATCGTTTACAAAATAAAAAAAAAGAACTTGGAAAAAATAGGAAAAAAACACTAAAGAAAAGTCGGAGGAGTGTGCAAGTTGCTTTCATTTGTTGGCACAACAAAGGACCT